CCCCCCCCCTCTCTCTCTCTCTCTCTCTCTCACACACACACACACAAAAGCATATACAGCACAAGCAAGACTTGAAAAGGACTACACACACACACAAAAGCATATACAACACAAGCAAGACTTGAAAAGGACTAGCAAAAGCAGAAGACTCGACACGAGGTCATCCGCCACATCATCATCACTCTCTTCATTGCGTCTTCAACACCGTCGGGATCGAAGAAGAGATCAGACCAGCGACAAAGGAGTGCCGGTAGATGAATAAAGCAAGGGCCCAAGAACAAACTGAAGCAAATCCGTAAACGAATAAATAAGAGCACAAAAATACAAAACAGAAGCCCCGAAAAACTGAAACAATGCCACGTCATCAGGCTCATCAACCTCATTATCGTCGTCATTGCCCGTACCGAGGTCATTGTGATCATCATCGCCAACATCACCATCATCATCAATGTCGTTTCTTGATCATCATCTATATTGCCATAATTTGTACCATTTTCATCCCCATAAGCTTCTTCTTCTTCTTCTTCATCATCATCATCATCATCATCATCATCATCATCATCATCAATCCAACAGCAACGAGGCGGTTACGATCCAATTATGAAACGAATACGCCCTTCTTGACCACCAACCACCATCACCGAAATCATCATCATCCCCATCAAGACCACCAACCAGCATCATTACCGCAATCATCATCACCCCCATCAGGACCACCAACCACCATTTCATCGACATCATCGTTATCGTTGTCGTTATCGTTATCATTCATCATTTCATCGACATCATCGTTATCGTTATCGTTACCCTTAACGCTCATTCTCCACTTCATCATCGTCAATCACCGTTAGCATCCTTTCATCAACGCACATAATCCTTTCATCATCGTCACCGTCAGCATCCTCTCACCGTTAGCATCCTCTAATCCCTATGTCAATCACCGTTAGCATCCTCTTAAGCCCTGTCAATCACCGTTAGCATCCTCTTACCGCTGTCAATCACCGTTAGCACCCTTCCACCGTTAGCATCCTTAAATCGTTAGCATCCTTCCACCGTTAGCATCCTTTCACCGTTCCCTGTCAATCATCGTTAGCATCCTCTAATCCCTGCCAATCGCCTTTATTAGCACCCTTCCACCGTTCGCACCCTTCCACCGTTAGCATCCTTTCACCGTTAGCATCCTCTAATCCCTGTCAATCACCGTTAGCATCCTTTAATCCCTGTCAGTGACCGTTAGCATCCTCTAATCCCTGTCAATCACCGTTAGCATCCTTTCGTCATCCCCAAACCATTACGGCAAGCGTCGTCGTCTACATCCTCCGCAAGGAAGTCAAAATCGGCGCACTTAACAGTCCTTGGCTCGATGGAGACTCATAACCATCACCTACGCTACGACGTTACGAGTCATCATCATCGCCACCACCGTTATCATCATTACCCCCATCGTCATCACCGCGGCCGCCGCCAGCATTACCGCATATCTTGATCATCACTTTCACCATCATCCACATCATCATCATACGTATCGACATCATCATATCATCCATGTTATCACACATAGTCATCCATCTCATCCCCACCATCATTACTTCACATAATCCATCGACATCATCACCATTGCTACAGGAACAAAGGCGAAAGGGGGGGCCAGGGCGGGGGAAAGGGGCCCAGGAAGGGGAAGGGGTGGCATTTTGGGGGGGCAGGCGAGGGGGGGACATTATTACATTATTTAATAAAGAGGAGACCGTTTAAACAAAACGGCGACATCAAAAGAAGAAGAAGAAGAAGAAGAAGAAGAAGAAGAAGAAGAAGAAGAAGAGGAAGAAAGGATGAAGAAGAGAAAGAAGAAAAAAAGGAGGAAGAAGAAGGAGATGAAGAAGAAATATATATAGAGCAGAGAAAGAAAAACAATAAGAGAGGAGAAAAAGCAAGAAGAAAAAGCACCGAAAGCGGAGGGGAGAAAAAAAGGGTAAAGAAGAACAAACAAGCAACAACCAAAAAGGAAAGGAAAAAAGAAGGTACAAGAAATTGCATTTAAAAAAAAAACATTGATGATAAAAAGAAGAAGAAGAATAGTGGAATAGTGGAAGAAGAAGAAAACATAATGGAGAAGAAAAAACAATAACAGAGGAGAAAGAGCACGCAGAAAAGCGTTAAAGAGGGAGTAGCGAAAAACGGGGTAAAGAAAAAAGAACACACAAGCAACAACCAAAAAGGAAGACGAAAAAAACAGGAACAAAAATTACACGAATGAAGAAAACCATCGATGATAAAAAGGATAAAAAAAAAAAAAAAAACGAAGAAGAAGAAGAARAAAAAGAAGAAGAAGAAGAAGAAGAAGAGTGGTAAACAGTGGCCAACTGCCTTTGGTACACGCATCGAAGAAGAAGAAGTGCCAGCCAGCAAGCCATAGCTCCATAGCTGCTGGCCCTGGCTCTTCTGCTTTTTATTATTATAATCAATCAAATCAGCAACGTTGGATATCATGCATCGTCAATCAATTTGGTATATTATTATATATTGTCTTCACTGTCGGTAAGGCGAGGACATCATCATCATCATCCTTCTCCGCGATCCATCCGACGCCGCACTGTTGTACCCTTCCTCTTCCTCTTCCTCTTCCGTTGTGTCTCCTGCTCTCCTCGTGCTTCCACTATTTCCACCGCTACTCCCTCCTCCTCCACCTCCACCTCCTCCTCCTCCTCCTCCCCGCCCGCCCATCTTTCCTGACGTCGACGCTCCAACCACCACCACCTCTCCCAACTCCGCCTCCAGAGCGTGCAACAAGTCCTCGTACTGCTGACTATCTTGCTGAGACTTCAGCGTTCTCCCGTACGCCTGCCACAGCCTCAAGTCCCCTCGAAACATGTCCAGCAGCACCGGCACTTGTTCCAGGATCGTCGCGAGGACCACGGTCCATTCACGCAACCCCACCGCTCGGACATGCGAGAGCAAGAACTCCCCATCAAGTCGACCTTGAAGGCTCCTTTCCAACCCTAATTTCTCTGACACCGTTCTCAGAGCCGTTGGGAAATCGTCCAACTTCACCGACTGCCCCTCTTCGGCTTTCAAAAACGCATCCAAATCGAACTGCGTATCTTTGACGAAGGCCACCAGCTGCCTCAAGTCCCGATTGACCATCAACCCGACGGCATGATCCCGGAGAATGTGCGCAACGGTCGCGTGAAGAACGTCGGCGCGCGCTTTAGGCGCGGCGGATGTGAACCCGAAGGAGAAGAAGGATTTCAGCAATCCTTCCGGTCCTCCTCCTCCTCCTCCTCCTCCTCGTCCTCGTTCGTCGTCATCATCCAGACCGCTGGAACTGAATTCCCGCCCTGAACGGAGCAAGAACCGTACCAATTCTCCCGCCAATTCGTAAAGGCCCACGTGCAGCGTCGCCTGCAATAGCCGGAGCGCAGTTTGCTGACTCATCGTCGGACCCTCCAGCTTCTCGATGACCAGAATGTAGCACATTGCCGTTCGGTACTGCTTCCTCTCGAAGCATTCCTCGAAAAGAGCGGTCGATTTCCCCGCCGCCGCGAACAACTCCGGCCAATGCCGGCTGTCCGTCTTTCGCGCCACGCTGACCACCACGTCCAAAAACTCCGGGAAATGTCGTATCAAATTGGCCGCCCTTTCCAACATCGAAGGGCCGCCGTTCGTCACGCCGCCAGTCGTTCTTTCCCCCCCCTCTCCCCCTCCTCCTCCTCCTCCTCCTCCTCCCGCTGCCGCTGTCGACATCCCCGACGCCCTCATCGCCCAACTCTGCTGCTGCTGCTGCTGCTGCTGCTGCTGTTGATTGCCACGTGTAGATACTAGATGGGGCTTCCCACCATCTTGACCTTGGTACTCCGTGACGCTCCGCGTTTGCAGCTCCTGCTCCTGCTGGTGGTGGTGGTGGTGGTTCTTCCGGCCCGCCGCCTTTTTCCTCGCGTGAGCATTCGTCATCTCGGCATCGAAGATTGTGAAGAGCAGCCATTCGAGAGAATGGGAGAAGTGGGGTCTAGCCGAGGATAGCCTTGCCAATTCCACTGCTTCGTCGAGGGCATTCCTCTGGAGCAAGTGCCTGAGAAGGCAGGGGAGGATGGGCTGCGCTTGCGGCGTAGGCTCGAAGCACGGCATGTCTGAGCACCCCGACAGCGACAGCCGCTGGGAGATCCCGACGATGACACCTGCCGAAGCCGACACTCCCAACGGATACACCTCCCGGTCGAAGTCGAGCTCCGGATCCAGTTGTTGCATCTCAGGCGACAGCGCGTTGAAGGTGGAGGTGGAGGTGGAGGAGGAGGAGGAGGAGGTGTCCGCCGGAGAAGACGGGTACCATACCTGCATCCCCCGGTGCCCGTAGGCCCACCACGGCACCTCCTCTATCAACGCTTCCTCCTCCTTCGGCCTGCCGCAAGTCAGCCAAAAATGCTCGACGCCGGAGACTAAGGATCGCTCAGTTCCTCGGTCGAGATCTAACAGCGAAAGCTCGCCGTCCATTCTCAGAACCATACACCTCGTCGGCTGCTTCAGCACCGCGTCCGTGACTGTATCTCTTTGCCCCCCCCCGATTCCCACCATCCCGACCCCTCCACCTCCCCCCGTCCCGACACGACCTCCGCCTGTCGGTGTTGAAGTCCCAGTAGCGCTCGGAGACGTCGAAGCTGTCCTCCCGCCGTTGTTGCTCAGAAGAGCCGCAGCATTCGAACCCACCACCTCCTCCTCTTGTTGTTGTCGTTGATGATGATGATGATCATGATGGGATGGAGAACTCTGTTGAGAAGTGTGCTGATGATGATGTGACGATAACAAAGAAGGGGCGGAGGAGGAAGAGAAGAGCCCGTGATGGGCATACTGCTGCTGCTGCTGCTGCTGATGATGATGATGATGATGATGATGATGCTGGTGGTGGGGATCCCAATCGTTACACGTGGCGGAGTTGGGAACGAAGCGGAGAGAGACGGGCGGCTTTCTTGCGCTCATGATGGACAGCTCCCTCACCAACCGCAGGGTCACCGTCGGATTTCGCAGAGGCGTCAAGTCCCCTACCACTTCGGCGTGATACACTCTGATCTCGAAGGGCCGCGTTGCCACCAAGATGTAATCCTGCCACGTGTCCATCGCGATCGGTCTGTCTACCAGCATCTGCCGGCACAACAACGACGAATCGTCCAAGTGATACCTTGGGTAGAAGTTCAGTTCGAATCCTCCGTTCGACTCTTTGTCATTACAGATGACCACCATACTGCCCATCCACAGAATTCCCGCGCACCTGACACGTCTCTCTTGGCTGATGTCGCCGAATACCCGCCACCGCTTGGTCCGCAGGTTGTACAGGATGATGCCGCGACGCCCGGCGATTGCAAGATAAGAGCCATCGTCGTTAGGGGCCACGTGGAACACCGGCCAATTAGACGCCATGTAGGCGTGCGGAATGACAAGATGCTGCATGGTGAGTTCATCCTTCTCGTCGCTCTTGATGAGCAGGACACGATCGTCTGCCTGCATTAATTGCCAAACGCTGGGGCTGCCAGACACGCCTTTACCAACACAGCCTTTAGCGAAGGCGAATTGCAGAAGGCGGGCGGGGTCGCCCCTCTGCGCAGCAGCGAGCTGGTATCCGTACTCCGCCCAAGCGAGAGCGCCGACTCCGCACACCATAGGCTCAGCTGCCCTGACCAATCCTCCTCCCCCTCCTCCGACTGCGCCGGGCCCGCCCCGATCATTGGCCTTCCACCCTCCTCTCCCTCCTCTCTCCGAGGCCTTCGTCCCAACCGCCGACCTCCCTGCCCCGCGAACCGTCGCCTGTTGTTGCCCCACATTGCTCACGCTTCCTTGTCGTATCGTGCACATCAGTCGGCATCCCGACACCGACCACACCGCCAGACCCCTCCTCTTCCACCCCACCGCGAAAGCCCAATTGTCTGGCGTCCACGATATGCAGCCCACCGGGCCTGTATCCTCCACCGAATAACCCCAATCAAAGAGCGAGATCGTTCTCATGTGATTAGCCCCATCGGCGAGGTCGAAGAGCTCCACCGTCCCCCTGCGTGATCCGACGGCCAGCACCTGCGCTTTCGTCCCGATTCCCGCGCAAACGGCATCCACCACACCCACCCATTTCTCCGGAGTCATCTCTTCCACCATGCGCAACCCGATCTCCGCCGTCGAACACAGCACCACCCGCCCATCAAGAAGCACCACCACGATCAACCGTAGCTGCCCCGAATACTCTAGCTGCAGAATCCCGCCCTTCTCCCCCCCCCCCCCCCCCCCCCCCCCCCCCTCCTCCTCCCCCTCCCCCTCCCCCTGCTACGCTCCCATTGCTCAGCCCGAAGACCGCCGCGCCCCCCGCTGCTGCTGAAGCTTGTTGCGGCGAGAAGAGCGCCACTGCTGGAGTCGACGCGTGCGGCGTGCTCGGGATCCCGTTCGCTTCCGCCACATACATCGGACCGAGAATCTCCCTCCCCCTCTCTTTCCATAGCTGCCCCTCTGCCTTTGCCTGCCCGCGCCACGATATCGTCCGCAGTCGCCCGTTAGATAGCCCTACCAGGATGGTCTCGTCGTCGGCCACCAGACCATTGCACGAAATGTTACTTTCGAACAATGGCAAGACCGTAGAGGATCGAAACCGAACGTCCACGTGGCGCAAATCCGGAGCGTCCGGTGTCAAACTCACCACCACGGGTTTCTCTGACCGGATTATTTCGTAAAAGTGGAGGATGTTCACTGAAGTAAGCACGACGAGGGTTTCCAGAACAGGGTTCCAAATCGCTTTCACATTAAAACCGTCGTCGGCAAGAGAAGGGTCGTCGCGATAAAGCTCGCCCACCTTAACTCTGTACCGACCGGCGGTCCAGACCTGGACGCAGGAGGTCGATACCACCACCAGAAGCCCACCTCCTACACTCACATCAACGATCTCTTCCTCATCGTGATCACATTCAATCGCCTTCAAGACCTTGGGCCACCCATACGCAAAATACATATTTTATCTACAAACTCTCTCTCTCTCTCTCTCTCTCTCTCTCTCTCTCTCTCTCTCTCTCTCTCTCTCTCTCTCTCTCTCTCTCTCTCTCTCTCTTTGTGTGTGTGTGTGTGTGTGTTTGTGTGTGCTCGGTCACACAGGCATACAAGATCGATATCTTCGATCAAAATGAGCAAACCCTAGCAACGAGCCACAGACATGCTGTCTCCTCCTCCTCCTCCTCACTCCTCTTTCCCTCGTCGTTGTTCTCCCTCTCTCCTCTCCTTGGCGTTGCTGCTGCGGTAGCTGTTCCTCAACCGGCTCAAGCGGCCCTAAGAAGAGCACCGGAGACCTACCCACTCTCAAGTGGCCCACACTAAAACCATTGGCGCGGCCTCCTACTCCTCCCCTCTTCCTCCTTCCCTCCTCTAGTTTTCCTCTCCTCCTCCTTTTCTCCTCCTCCTTTTCTCCTCCTTTTCTCCTCCTCCTTTCCTCCTTCCCTCCTCCTCCGCCGCCTCCTCCTCTTCTCCACCAAGCGGCCCTAAGAAGAGCACCGGAGACCTACCCACCCTAAAGTGGCCCACAGAAAAAGCATTGGGGCCTCCTCCTCCTCCCCTCCTTTGTCCTCCTCCTCTCCTCCTTTTCCTCCTCCTCTGGTCCTCTCCTCCTTTTCTCCTCGTCCTCCTCTCCTCCTCCTCTCCTCCTCCTCTCCTCCTACTACCTGCCCGATTCCTTTGACATCGCCTATTGGTCCTCAGCAGAGCTCTGAAGACCTACCCTACGCTGTCTCGGCCTCCTCCTCTTGCTGCTGCTCCTTCTCCTCTTCCTTTTCTCCTTCTCCTCTTCCTTGTCCTCCCAACTCTTCCACTCTCTTCTCCTAGCTCTTCCTCCTCGTCTTCCTCCTCCCCCTCCTCCTCCTCCTCCTCTTCCTCCTCCTGCAACGTCCTCCTCCCAATTCACAACTCCCCAAAATATTACCTATCCTCCCCCTTCTCTCGGCCTCCCTCCTGCTCCCTGCTTTCCCTCCTTATTCCTCCACCCCTCCTCTCTTTTCCTCTTCCCCCCTGCTGCTGCCGCCGTCGCCGCTCTTCTTCCTCCTCCTCCTCCTCCTCCTCCTCCTCCTCCTCCTCCTCCTCCCCCTCGAGCTTCGTCCCAACTCACAAGCCGCCTTAATGAGACATTGGCTCGCGCACACGCTAATGTTCACCTTCAACCTTGTTGCTATATTAAAAAGGGAGTAGAGCTTCGCTCTCCAATCCCTATCGAATCCGTATGAAATCCGACGCATGCACTAGACGATGAGCTGCGTCCTCCTCTTCTCTGCACCCACTCCCCCCCTCTCCCCACCCTCCCAACCCCTGATCCTATACACACCCACACGCATACAGCCACGAGACGAGATGTGTTACGGAATCCCTAGTCCGAGGTAATTGTCGATTTGCCAGATTGTGTGAGCATACCATAAAGCTAAATAATTATAAGATCAAAGATGTATCGCGTTCAGGCCCGGCGATAACACATGGCTTTATACTGGATAGAGGGGGGCTGCCATGGAAGAAGGGAATGAGCAATCCTAGGAGAGGAACCGTTCAGCAGCACATTTTCGTCGCACCTGAAGTATCGTGAACGCATCTGACCGCAATTACGGTCACATGCGGTGACGACCATAGTGCTGCTGCTCATGAGCAGACCCCCCAACTAGCACTTCACATGATTTCCGCATTCCTCCTGCTTCTTACTGTCGCGTGCTTTTTGCCCCATCAACCGATACGCCGCGGCAGGAGCATCCGGCTTACGACTCACAGGCCGGCTTGTCCGACTTGGACGTAAATCGTGCGCCCAAAACGACGGCCTTCACGTAGAAAAGCTCACGCGGTGGCATGTTTCTTTCTTCTGCCCGACTACGGCAGAGAAGCATGATGGGAGGCATCGGTTCTGCTCCAGCCCACACGCTGCACCCACAACCGACGGAGCCAAGAGAAGATGACGAGCTAGGGGAGCGAAGGGAGGGAGCGAAGGCAGGGAGCGAAGGGAGAGAGCGAAGGGAGGGACGGAGGGAGGGACAGAGGGAGGGAATACAGATGTGCAGAAACTAGGCTCTTCCCTAATTCCCGGACAAAGACGAAGAGGGGGGGAACAAGAGAGAGAGAGAGAGAGAGAGAGAGAGAGAGAGAGAGAGAGAGAGAGAGAGAGAGAGAGAGAGAGGGACGACGCAATTTGTTCCTCACCTCCAAGACTCCAGAAGAGACAGGAGAGACGACGATAGGAAGGAGAGACGCAAGGAAGAAAGGGGTGGTATGGCGGATGAAGGGGAGGAGGAGGAAGAGGGGAGATCGCTTGGATGCGGGTAGTGCATGGCAGATTGAAAGGAAGGAAGGATGCCTTGGAATGCAAGAGCACTGAAAGACCTACTGAAAAAGGGAGGGAGGGGAAAAGACAGAGAGAGAGAGAGAGAGAGAGAAAGAAGGATGCTTTCGACTCTGTAGAACGCAGAGACTACTGGACAGGCGGGAAAAAGGAGCGAAACGAAGACGTGAGACGGAAGGGAAAGGAAAGCGCTGACAAAATCGAGTGGAGAAGGAAGCACCGACCCGCGGAGAGCCCACGTACCCCTTTCCTCCCCGCTCAGCAAGCTCGACCATTCAATTCAACCACAGCTCGCCACCTGGCAATCGCGGAAAGCCCGGGACGGCGGACACGTGGCAGTCATCGTGCCAATCGACGGTCATCCGTGGGAGTGTAGGAGGCACACCCCGCACGCCACCCCGGCCCACTTAGCCTTATGGTTAGGTGTTAGCTTGCAGAGCCATGAGTTGGGCGTTCGAATCCTCTGCTCGTCATACACGTCCGGGACAGAGCACGCCGCCACGTCAGCAAGTTATCCGCCGCTTGCGGGACACAAACCACCGCGCTTTCTTGACAGCTGGCATATCATGAATGACACGACAGCGACCGGTCGTCCCCGCACGCCACGTTGTCGCAAACCCCACCCGTGCGCGTCCCAGCAATAGCGCCAACCGAATCTCCACTTACCGTTCCCCTCCCTACAACGATTGAACGACCCCATCACACACACGCGCGCGCCCCTTCATCCCCCCCATTTCCCCCCCCCGCTCTACTCTCTCTTTCCCCTCGCTCCCGACCCTTTCTTGCACGGAAATCTCTTGGGCCTCTCTTTCACCCGACCCCAGGTAGACCCTGCGGCGCTCTCTCACCGCACCACACCACAGGTAAAATCAGCAAGGCCTCCCCCATTCCTGCCACAGAGAAATCCCGATATACCGCTCCCGTGTTACCCTTGAAGGGGTCAGCTCACTGCGATACGTTTTACCCCTTCACCGGGTACGGTACTGTGTACGGTCCTCAACACAGTTCTCAAAATTTATAATTATTTATAACAAATCGTAAAAGAATAATAATATAATAATAAGTCAAAAATAAAATTGAAACTAATCTTCTCTGTATCGTTCCAATTTCAACGGATGTCCCGAGGATTAGCATGGCCCCTGCTGCACAAGGGTGACAGGCATAAATCGAGAAATGGTCCAGATTTTTGTGAAGGGGAGAGGGTCAGCATCAGGGTTGAACGCTGAGGCCTGACTGTCCCTGCACAACCAATATGTGATATAGGGATTCCACCTAGGGAGGCTTGTGGTATAATAGATCATGCCTGGCGTCCGAAGCACTCCGCTTGCTCCGCGATGCTTCCACTGTGGCCTAGGTAGGGTACAGGGGCCTTGATTAGCTCTGGTGTCTACAACTGCGGTCTCGCCCCGCTGCCTTGATAGGGTGGTTGGGTGTAGTCCTTGTAATGAGACGCGACTGGGGGGTAGGGGATGTGCTGGGGAGAATAAGTCTTGAGGTAGGGAGGAAAGGTGGCCTCATAAGTGGATTAAAAACCTGATGGCTAACTGTCGAAAGGTACTTGTCGTGGGCTTTATTATAATAAAAAAAAAGGTACTTTGGCTTGGGCACCTGGGCCCCGATTACAAAAGATTATATTTTTCAAAAAACAAAGAATAACACTAATACAAAATAAAATAAATTGAAAAATGAACAAGCAAACATATCCAAAGCATGCAGCCTAGCTCAGATGATTAGACAGACAATGGCATTCAGGAGGGCGTGGGTTCAATCCCCACAAACCGCCTTACGTACTCTTGGTGCTAACCAACGGGGATACTTGGCTTGCTCCCCCTGTTCGATATTGATAGGGTCTTTTGCCATCACGGCCTGCATGTGTGTGACCGTGGGTTGTGTGTGGAGTATGGGAGAGTGCTGGAAATAGGCATTGTTGTTAATCCATGGGGGCGGAAAAGTAGATGGGAGGGTGGAGCTACTACCAAATGCTCAGTCTTTTAAAATATTCGATCTTTGTGCTAACCAGCCTCCCCCACCAGTGGCCCAACCCTACTCCCTGACCACTGCCGATTAGGGCAGGGGGCAACATGCATCCTCTGTATAGGGTTAGGAATGATGGTAGGTAGCTATGCCTGCATGGGTCCTCTATATAGGTTTAGGAGTATTGGTAGTTATGCTTGCAGGAGTCCCCTATATAGGCTTAGAAGTAGTGATAGGTAGTGAAAGGTGAAACTAAAAGAATGATATAACTTAGGTTTTTTTATACCACCACTACCTTTCAAGTTGGACAGGTGAGTCATAGATATAGCCAACACCACATTCTTTGGAGGTCGGTGGAGGTCAGGCGCAACTGAACCAAAAATGTTAGCAGCATCAGCAAAAAAAAAGAAAAAGGTCGCATTGGCACTTCGACCAAAGCTTAGCACACAATTTGGCTTCGCCTCGACAAAATGAGGCATAAAGGTAGTGGTGGTTTAAAAAAAATAAGGAAGGTAAGGGGAAATTATATATCCATCAAGCATGTTGCCATGTGCTTTCCTTTATCGAAAAACCTAACAAATGGTGAAACTTGTAGCAAAGCGGTGAGGCATCATGCCAACGCCTTGCTCAGGCCAATTGTGGGCGCCATACCCAGTGGACCTGACAGCTGACAACGAGTGTGCTTATCCCATTTGGGCATCTGCCATCATCGACACATATGGGTGTGCATTGAGTGTAGGAGTTATATGTTACATGTATTGATGCTTCTTTCTTTTATTTTGGTATCCATAAACCACAACTCCTCATGACACCCATAAATTTTCATTATGGTGAGTTAGGACTGCGTTTTCAGATTCGGAGGGGGCGTCGACCGGCAGGCGCAGGTGGGTCCATTCCCACACTTTTCAATCGCTGTTTTTTGCGACTTTTCCCTCGCATAAGAATTGTCCAAGAATTCTAAAATTTACCCCACAAGAAATGAAAGTTCAAAAAACATTTCATTAAAAAAAAATCCTTCATATTTAAAAATTATTATTCCAATGTTCATCAAATTCTAAAATTTACAGTTTTATTTTATAAGTTCCCATAAAAAAAATGAGTTTTCCCTTCTAACTATATTTATTTGTTGAAAATGAAATGAAAAATTGAGCGAGTTTATGAAATGTCTTAATTAAACTTTCATTTGACTACAACAAATACCTTATAGTTTAAATTGGATTAACCTATTTATGATTGAAAATTCTTATATAGAATGACAGTTCAATTAAAATATTTCATGAACTCATCTATATTTTAATTCCATCTCTAGCATGCAATCCAAATAAGAAGGCATACCCCATTCTTGAAAAAACAAATTCAAGTAAAACTGGAAATTTTAAAAGTGGAATCACATTTTTTAAGAT